TGGGGGCTTACTATATGCAGTTTTTACGAACGAAAATTGTTGTAGTACACAGTATTTATATCCACTTGTCCGTTCATTTGTTAGTGAGGAGATGTTGTTTGAATTATTAGTCCAACTGCTATATTATTTCTATATAAAGCTTTTGTTTTAAATATTAAACTGCCATTCGGGTCACCCGCATATAGCAAACACAGAGGTAGTCGTACGTCAAAAACCAAAAACAGGAGAAAACGTAAACTGTCTTCACCAGTTTCGTCTCAGACACAGGCACATTCGGATTTCGCTTGTTGGGCTAACTTTAAGCGGGCTACGTTTCAGTTGGATTCCCAAGTCAAACGTCATTTCTAACAGTGATTCCTATTCGAAATTTCGACCGGCTTCATGCAAAAACCGGCAAACCAGTGGAGTAATGATACAGATTATTTCAAGGCGATACAATGAGTTGCTTCCTTGATGGTTGCCAACGATATGGCTGAATGAGGGGTGAAGCTAATTTCTGACTTATTAAGAGATCCACCCGAGACCTAGTTCAAAAGCAATATTTGCTTCAGGGGATAGAGCAGCATCGTAACGAGTACCCTGAGAAATCGTAGAATATATTAAAATGAAATAGGACAATCCTTAACTGTTGGAGCGGGATATGTCTTTATCTGGGAGAGAGTCATTATTTCCTACTCACTATCTGTCCAGTAACAGATATCCGTCTTGCTGTTAATAGTTTTGAATTCGTACCACCTACGATATTGTGCAACTTGTTCGATGCTAATGCTAATGCTAATGATAATATGAGAATTCGTTTTCACAGAATTGATTGAATGGTTGTATTGGTTCATCTTCAATCGAATGATATGAAAATAAACAGCACTCGCTTTACAACTGCTTTTATGGGATTGAGCAAATGTTTTTGAATAACCCATCCGAACAACTCGAGAGATGTTCGGAAACTCCGAAGTTATTTTAGTCTTAATCTTTACTTTCATTGATATACGTGAGGACCGGAAAGCATACAGTAAGCCCCCACCCATATCTAACTACGCCTATTAAAAGGAGCACATGTTTTTGAATACATCTGAACATACCAACTTGACAAGATCAGAAAAACCGAAGTTATTCCAGTTTTAAGCTTTACTTGCATTTATATGAGTGAGGAGGGCGAGATGAGATTTAAAAAGTAGAAGGGTCTGTGCCTAGGGGCACGAACGGAAGCTTGACGTAGGACCGCTAGTCGACGGAACAAATGTGAGCATTTAGTTCTTTTAATTGATCAATCATCAATTATCTTAACTCTTAACTCTTTCCGTTTTTTATTTGTAAGCGTATCAAATTTGTAGTATTTATTTCAAAGAGAAAGTTGATGAAGAGTATCCAAGGGACTGTTAACTTGAGTATTTTCGATCCATCTACCCGACTTTAAAAGGTGTATTTTGAATTTTTTGTAGTTTACGAATTTTTAAGTTTTGGTATTAAAGAGTATTCAATTCACCCCTCACAGGTTTTCCTTCCGAATTATATGAATGGGGCGGGGCGGAAAGTATCGTTTGTGCAGAATATGTAAAAAAGGAGGGACTTCGAGAGATTGAACTCGTGAGAGCTAATTTTCTCACAAATTTGATTTTATTGGCTTTTTGGGGACTGAATATACACCCAAAGCGAATTATTCCTATTTCTCTCAAATTCTATATGGATTTGTAACACTTCCTACCACTTCTTCTTCTTCTTCGCATTTCAAGCTTATTGCATATAGCATATTAGCTTATTGCGTGCTTTCAACTTAGTGTTCTAGATGCACTTCCACAGTTATTAATTGAGAGCTTTCGATGCCTGTACCATTTTTACATTGGTATAATTGTGTTGCAAGTCCAATCATACTTCTATGCCCAGGGAAGTCGAGAAATTTTCCAACCCGAAAAATTCCTAGACCGGACCGGGAATTGAACCCAGCCACCTCCAGCATGGTCTTGCTTTGTAGCTGCGCCTTTACCGACTGAGCTAAGGGAGGCCCCACACTTCCTACCAGCGTGTTCAATAGAGACCAGGGGCCACATTGCGCATCTCGAAACGAAAAACTTTTTCATACAAGCGTTCGTACAAAAAGTCTTTCGTTTCGAGATGCGCAATGTGGCCCCAGGCTGAGCCTTGATAGCTAGCTGCTTGCAGGAACTGATGACCTTGACAAAAGTCCAAATAATACGCTTAACAAATTTATGGTGGTCCTGAAAAGGACTGTTTTGTAGTGCTGGTTGAGTAATGCTGAGCTGAGCACGACGAGCTACTGATTCCGATCCTAGCCTAGCGGTGGGACTTCTTCCTCCTTCTCTATGGTTGCTCATATGAGCTCTGCAGCTCGCTGCTTGCAGGCAACCTTTCGTTGTTGTTGTTGTTGAAAGCACTCCTGCTGCTGCTGCTGCTGCTACTACTGCTGCTGCTGGACTGGACACCACCACTTACGGTGATTGAATGAGCACCGTTCAGTGGGACCGCATCGAATTCGATTTTTAAGTCTGTGTTAGGGAATGCGCTGTTTTCAGACATTCGGTGATAATTTTGATCACCATTGCAACAGTTGGACATTTGGTATTTTTCAATAGTGACCTATTGAAAATTAACTAAGTGTTCATTTTAGCAGATTGGTAGATACATTTCGAAACCTGACCTCTTTTCGTAATGCTGTGCACTAACAAAACTAAATTTGAAATTGCGTGGAATCTATAGATCCTGTGAAGATCTATCTAGCCCTGATGTATGTCCGTAATTTAAAAGAGTAATTCTGAGCTGGGTGTTCAACACGGATGAGGCTGTCGAGCTGTATGTCGTTTGGAGCGAGGGTGACACGCTCGACATAGATGCCCGACTCGCAGCGACTCACGAAGAGCTACTGATTCCGATCCATAGCATAGCGGTGCAGCTTCTTCATCCTTTGATTGGTTGCTTATGTGGGCTCTGCAGCTCGCTGCTTGCAGGCAGCCTTTCGTTGTGACTGGAGAACAATTGTCAACGCCACACGCCGAAAGCACTGCTAAACTGCTGCTACTAATTTCGACGACCGAACACCACTACACAGTGGTGTGGTCGTTGGGAGCGTGTGGTTCTGAATATGGCGATAAGTGTGCAAAATATTACGCAATTCCATCCTCCCTATTCGCACGCGCCCGAGGATCGGAGGCGAATGCCACTTCGACTTGTTTCGTCTACTTACTACTCTCTGACGACTGTGCTGGGGAAGCAGCATATGCATGTAGGTAATTGGTGGATTTGTTAGTGAATTCGACGCTTTTGGACAATGCTGGACATTTACCAGGTTTTCAATAGTTTCTTGTTGAAAATCAACATTCGGAAGCATTGTTATCGATGCGTAGCCATATTTCTGATCGATTGGTAATAACATTATTGAAATTGGACAAGGGGCAGCTGAGCTATAAACGTTAAAAATCTTTCTTAATTTGTTACATGTTCCATTTTTGGTTTGCACAAAGTGTACCCCCATATAGAAATCAAAGACGTAGTCCTACTTCAACATTGTTTGTGAATAATTCATCTGAACATACAAAATCGATAAGATAAGAAACTCCAAAGTTATTTCAGTTTGGAGTTTGACTTTCATTGGTACACCGGCAGTGTTGGCAGAAAAAGGGATTTTCGACATTTAATTCGAAACATTGATCTTTGAACAGCTATAACTTTTTTTGGGGGCATTCTAGCACCACACATCTTTCAGAAAAGTTGTTAGGCACCTGGGCTATATTTTAACGTATTTAGATGCGTGGTTTGTGCAAAATTGTGGTCCCTAGCAATAAATATGCAAAAAAGTAGGTTTTCCAAAATACTACTTCCCATACAAATTTCAAACGCAATGCGGAAAGCCGGGTTACAACCAATCGTCCCCAAATTTTGCACAGTTATTTTAGACCCCACATGGAACCAAAAAACATTGTTCTTAAAAATTGTTCATGATGACCCATCCTATTAATTACGTACGTGCGGTCGTTGACGCGCGTATACTTATGACCAAGCGATGTAAAGCCAGAGATGATATTTCTTTCAGAAGAAAAGGAGTTTTTTTTTTACGTAATTTTATTATGTATTTTTCTATTATTTTTTATATTCGGAGGATGTTTTATTCTTCGGTTTCTTGTCGGCAAACTCCATAGCGATGATCCTGTACTTGGTCTAATCGGATTTACTGTTGAGAATCTTCAGATCACCATGCCTCTTTCCTTCCACGCTTTTTGAAAAAAAAAATCGATAAACGTCGGTTGAATTTTGAGGTACATTGAGTTACTTGCTGCAAAAAAAGCAGCTCAGAGTAAAGTTGTCTAACCCGTTGAAAAAAATGATAAAAAATCTCCCATATAAATGTGGGCCAGTCTTCTATGTTTAAATGTGGGCCAATCTTCTATGTATGATTTGATACCTAAACATGTACATCTACATGATATCGGAATTTTGCGCACAATGCGAAAAGATTTAGGAATTTATCGGATTGGAAAATTTATGGACTTCCTTGGACAATAACAAACGGTACCGGATTAATAAGCTCTTAATAATACACCATGGAAGTGCTCAAAGTTCTCCAAGTTGAGGGCACGCGTTAAGTTCCAGTTGGGAAGTAAAAGCCTAAAACGAAACGTAAGGAATACACACACACACATTTCACTACAACGCCAGATTTTACGTTATGCAAATACTAGTCAACACCAATATAATGAATGAATCTGATAAGAAAACATTTCATTCATATCCGACGAACGAACGAAAAAAAAAGCGTGGCAATCTTCCACAGCGCCACCTATCTTTCCACTAAACACATTTGATTGAGTACCATATGCAAACAATAATGCGTTCGTTATCAACGTTCAAACACCAGCTTGTAGTTCCGTATGTGCACAGATGAACATACATACGGTTGCATAAAAAGCAAAACGTGTGAAGCATAATTCTTATCGGACAAACGGACCCATGTTTTTAACAAGTTCCATTTCTTCTTCCTCTTTTTCTTCCAGCTAAGGACGTTATATTAACGTCCTACTCATGTATAGTTGGCCGCAGAGATGGCCAAACTAGATTCGTCATGTATAGGTTTTGTAATTAATTTATTTATTTTTATTAGTAAGTATACACGCTTTCATTTGCTCCCAATTTTCGGATTTTGTAACGATTGTGTCTTTCTTCTCTTCCAGACTTAATTTTAAGTAGTAATGCACAGCGTAGGATTTCCAATAGTAATAGGTGTAAGTATGAACACTCCTTTTTCTTATCCACAATGAACATCCCATCCATCCATTTCGGCTTGCCACATCAAATCATCAAATAGTGTTTCGGCTGTTCTAAATTCTAATTGAAATGCACATCCCACACTCATCGCACCACTTTGTGTCTGTGACTGAATGAATGTATCTAATCAATTTGTGTACGACTCACATATCTTAAACACTGTCTCGAATTCATTGTCGCCATCATATAATGCTGCTGCTGCAGCAGTTCCGTCCATTCTGGAATCAGTTCCCTCGTTTCGACATAAGCATAACACCCCACACGTTTCATCAACCACGACCACCATGAGCAGCGTTCAACGCGGAGATCAGCAGCCAGTGGAAGAAGATGATTTATTCTCCGGGGAAGTGCGGTCGCCCGATGATCAGCGTAATGGGGAGGACGACCAAAGAGGGGATTTTTTTCAACGCCCAGGAATGATTAACAACCATATCAACTACAATAAGTACAATTCGATTTTTGTGAACTCGAATGAACGGAGACTACAGCGACATGATCAATGGACTCAGCAGAAGATGACGACGGCGGGTTACTGGGAAGATAGGAGCGTGTTTGCCGGTGACCGTCAGCGAGGAGGTAGTTTTGTTGTTCGATGATCCTGGGATCCGGAAGTGGTGGTTTATTGGGATTACAAAGAGCTGATGGACGCTCCGGGTGTACATACATATTAACTTGTTAACGAATTTTATGTAGTCATAGATAAGTTTTGAATCATTGTATTTTCTGATGTCATATTTTCGATTGTCGTTATTGGAGAATGGGTCAATTTGGGAAGTGGAAGATTATACTTAAAAATCATGACCATGAACAAAAAATTAACAACGGCGCCGGTGGTGTAGTGGTAAGCGTGACCTCACCCCAGTCGGCGCCGCCGGGATGTTCTGAGGCATAACATCTCTGATCATGCCTTCCTTCGGATGGGAAGTAAAGCCGTTGGTCCCCGGTTCATGAGTTGATGGATCGATAGGTAGGGTCCAGGTGTGGGAGCTGCCTTCCTGGCACGTCGGTAGCATTGGTGCTCAGCACGGAAAACAAGATCGACGGAAAAAACACACCAACAGAAAAAAAAAAAATAACTACGAAGAAATCGAACTAAGAACAGTTATGAAGATGTCAGGCCTAAACATGTTCTAAACATCGTTAAATTTTAAAGCATCTAGGATTTAGAAAAATATTCAAGATGCGGAATTTTTAAATAATCCATGATTTAAAACAAAAAAACAAAAATTAAGATTCACAGTGTTGCAAATTTCTCAATTCTCTAGAACTTTTAGGATTCTGACAATTTGAAGAATTTCCAGGAGAGTTTAAAAGCAACTCTTTGAATAATTCCAAGAGAACTTTGAAGAACATTTGCAAGACAGCTCAGCTCTTGGAATGGAATTTTGACTAGAATTTCAAGGTAACTATGGAGATAAATCAATGGGAGTTCTGAAAAGTATTCAAAGGGTGCTCTGTAGATGATGCCAAAATAATTTTGAGTTATTTCCGAGAAGAATTAGTATTAGTATTAGATACTGACACGAGTATTTGTACAACACACTGAAGAAATCTGCACATTTTAGACAAACTACGCGTATCTGCCAAGGATAAGCAAATAGGGTAGTGGAATTAAATGAAAATTACTTCTCTCTTTCTTTATATAGAAAAGTAGTCGTTTTGATGCCACGCCAAATAAATGGTTGATGTTTTAGACTTCAGTTAGTATTTCATATACACTTATGTACGATATAAACCTGTAAAGCAAAAAATTCAATAGAAAGTTTATGATCAAACCTATGGTATGGCCAGGATCTCCTACATATAAAAACTGGAAAACCGGGAACCCTCAGGGAATTTAATTGTTCCTGAAAATACCTGTTTTTTTGTTGTTGGGGGGAGTTGAACCACTGCGTCCATTATTTGAACTTTTGGTTTACTGTTCGTATCATGCAAGCTGACCACCATTTAATGAGTGAGCTAATTGCCAGGACACGTCCTTTCCCAGTCAGGTATGATATGGTTTATGAAACCAACTACCATTCCAGGATTAGCAGACCAAATTCCACTAGGTTGTAAGATAACACTACGAAGAAATTTAGATCTACGCCTGTGTAATGCACCGCAACTGCAGAGCAGATGTTCCGAGGTTTCACGTGCTATGCAACAGAAACGGCAGATATCGCTCTGAACCCGACCAATGTTCTTCAAATGATATCTACTCGGACAGTGCCCAGTTACTAGGCCAGTGTATATACTAAGAGCCCGTTTATTGAGCTCCAAGAGCTTTTTGGTATGTGTTACATTTGGAGTTATAGATCTTTTCGACTGGTTGCACTTCGTGACGGCCATCCAGTTGGCCATCACCCTTTGTTCTTCCCAGCGTTTGAGTTCTATTTTTACCGTACAGTTTGATATTCCACAGTATGGTTCTGGGCCAATAAACGGTGAATTGGATCCTAATTTTGCAAGATCGTCGGCCCTTTCATTCACTTCAATGCCACAGTGTCCAGGAACCCAATACAAGTTTACTGAGTTCTGTTTGCACAGCTTTCGCAACAAGAGAATACATTCCCAGACAATCTTTGATGTACATTTGTAACCATGAAGCGCTTTTAGTGCTGCTTGACTGTCAGAAAAAATACAGATATTTGCACATCTATATTTTCTCCTTAGGCAAACACTTACACATTCAAGTATGGTCACGATTTCCGCTTGAAACACTGTTTGATGACACTGCCAAAGATTCCTGCACCTGTTTGTGTTCCAATTTTTGAGCCATCTGTGAAAAATATGATTGAGTCTTGACGAACGCTAGGACCACCGACTTCCCAATCCGAACGCAACATTTCACATACGTTGAAGGGAGTGTCATAATTGTCCTCTGGTTTCATCCAGTCTCCATTCATACTCATCACTGGTCCTCTTTGGAAGTATTGTAAAATGCGTAGGTGATCAACCAGGTCACCAGGCATGACTTTTTTAGACCTTTTGAACCTTAGAGCACTTCTTTCCGCTTCTAGTTGTACGTATTCATGCAAGGGCAGTAGATTGAGAATTGCATCTAACGCTTTTGATGGGGTGCTGCGCATCGCACCCGTTATAGCAATACATGCTAGACGTTGTAGTTTTGCCAGCTTCCTCTGTACGGTAGCCTCTTTCGTTTTTGGCCACCACACTAACGAAGCATAAGTTACTTTTGGACGGATTACTGATGTGTAAATCCACATTGTCGTTGTTGGTTTCAAACCACATTTTCTAAAAACAGTTTTGGAGCATAACCACAGGGCACTGGTTGCTTTGTTGGTCACAGAATCAATCTGAGTATTCCAATTCAACTTGACATCCAATATAACTCCTAGGTATTTGACCTGTTCACTAAGATGGATCTGTTCTCCTCCAAGCTTGAACACCTTTAGGTTGAACTTCCTCTTTCTAGTAAAAGGAACGATTACTACTTTTGACGGATTAATGTTTAGGCCCTCCTTAAAACACCAAGATTGGGTAAACTTTAGAGCCAGTTGCACTATTTCTGAAATGATAGCGTCAAACTTTCCTCTAACTACGATGACTATATCATCCGCAAAGCCCACAACTTCGAAACCTTTCGCCTCTAGGCTTCCTAGAAGACCATCTACAGCTAAAGACCACATTAGTGGTGAGAGGACTCCTCCTTGAGGACAGCCTTTCGTTGCCTTTACTGTTATAGATGAGCTTCCCAGCCCAGAAGTGACTTTTCAGATTCTCTGCTTGTACGTCAAGCAGTACAGTTCGGTCTTTGCTCGCTCTGTCGAGTTGTTCTAAAGTTTCTAGTTTGTTCCAAACATTCGCAGTTTAATCGCGTCGTCAGTAGTGTCGGTCGCTTCGTGTGATGGGAAGACAGCGCTCCCGGAGCAGGCTCCGAGAGAAAACGGAGAAGAAGAACAGCGGTGAGGGTAGCATGAGTGTACCTATTTCGAATAGGTACGCTACTCTTCCCACCGATGTAGGGAATACCACCTCAGCCACGGTGAAGCGGTCAAAGAAGAGGAAGAAAAATCAAGGCCAGTCCGATGGTGCGAGTGGACGGGACGATGCCACCGCGACGAACGTCAGCGTCATTGGTGATTTCGGCGACGCCGTCGACAACGAAACTGCTGCCACCCCGAGTGCAGCAAAAATGAAGCTTCCTCCACTGGTGGTGAAGCAAGTCCCACTCAACACGCTGATTGGCGATCTTTCATCGCTGGGCGTTGCAGCTGAGTTTAAGCTCGGCAGGATCGGCACCAAGGTGATGCTCCGAACAAAAGCGGAGTACGAAGTGGCCGTGAAATATCTGAAGGATACCAAGGCGGAATTCTTCACGCACGACATCCCCGGTGAGAAGCCCTTCAAGGTAGTCATCAGGGGTCTACCAAACTTCGACCCCAAGATGGTCGAAGCCGAAATCAACCGGTACAAGCTAGCCCCAATCGCTGTCTTCCGAATGACAAGGAGAGACGAAAACGTGAAGACGTACCCGGATTGTCTTTTCCTGGTGCACTTCCAGAAAGGGACGGTGACGCTCAATGCGCTACAAGCCATCCGATCAATCTGCTCCATCATCGTACGGTGGGAGCCATACCGTGGCGGCCATCGTGACGTAACGCAGTGTATGAGGTGCCTCAATTTTGGACACGGTACCCGCAACTGCAACATCAAGCCACGCTGCAGCAACTGCGCTCAAGAACACGCCACTTCCAACTGCCCTGCGGATGGAGCCGTGGCGATAAAATGCGCTAACTGTGGTGGTGCACATCAAGGTTCCGACAGACAGTGCTCCAAACGCGAGGACTTCAAACGCATCCGAAAGCAGGCGTCAAGCAACAATCAACCAGGACGCAAGAAGGACAAAACCCCAGCATTCAGGACGGAGGATTTTCCGCCTCTTCGTGCTCCCCAGCAAAGGCAAGCGAATTCGCGGGTGCAACCCGCCCCCCCTCAAGAAGCTTCCGGTGAT